TTCAACCTCCATCTCAACTACATCTATAAGTCTGCTACACATTTCTCTTTTTTTAGTTCAATTTTATTTTCAGTTTTGAAATCTCTCCCTCTCCCTCCTCCACTCAATTAGAAGGAAAGGAAAACAAAATCCATTACAAATATGTGTAGTCAAGCAAAAAAAATTACTGCATTAGCCATGGAGAGAGAAACAGAGATAGAGAGATACATGAGAAAGAGAGAGAGATGAGAAAAGAGAGGAAAGGAAAGGAGAGTAGGGGAGAGGGGATGGGAGGGGAAGGGGGAAGGGAGGAGAGAGGGAGAGGAGAGAAGAAAGAAGAGAAGAAGGGAGAAGGGAGGGAGAGAGGGGAGGAGAGAGGACAAGTAGAGGAGGGGAGAGGAGAGGAAAAATACTTTAGTCTTTTCTTTGAGTCCATCAGCTCTCTATCTGGATCTGGATAGCTTGCTGCACATATCAAGGCCAAATGCCCAAGGATTTATGCTACAGCGGGGAAAGTATTAAATCTGGAGTCAGAGGTGATGATCCCAAATTTCCTAACCCTTGCTACTTACTACCGGTGTGACTTTGGGCAATTTACTTCACCTGTCTGGGTCTTGAAGGAAGCTAAGAAGCCTAAGATGTGGAAGAGAAGAGGTGGCTCCTAGAAGGGAGAACTCCTTGTTCAAAGGTGTGGAGGCAGGAGATGGGATGTTGGGTGGTGGGAGCGGTTCAGATTCCCATTTGCCTGGAATGGAAGGAGTAATGGGCAGTAACTGGAAGGGAGCTCATGCCAAGGACTGTCATGAACAGTGCTTGGATCTCCTCAAAAAATATGGAGGGAAGCCACAAAATCTCAGGAGGAATTGCATTTATCTGATTTTCTGCTAGAATCAATCTCATTCACTTCAGTCATCCACATATCCAGCTGATGTTCCGAAAGTCCAGTATAAGCATTTGAGCCATGTCACCACTCTTATCAGGAGTAGTATTGGTATTTGGTTTAGATATGTGATTTCATCTGTGTGGGGGACTTCCAGTGTGGAGGTTCCTTCCATCAATGCAGCTCTGTGGTTCATCTGTATCTGCTCCTGGTGGTCTTAGAGATTGCTGGGCAGTGAGGATGGGGGTGGGTAAGGGAGAGTCTGAGAGATTGAGTGATTTCCACAGGGTCACTGTGGAACAGTATATGTCTAAGGCAGGTCTTCCTGACCCCAAAGGCAGCCAGCCCTTTATCCCATTGTGCCTTTCTGACACCATGTTGATGGGTGAAATTTGGAGCTCTTGCATAATACATTAGGAAATAAACCCCAGTGATAGATAAAATGAATTACAGATGGACTAGCAAGGAATTCATTAGAGAAAGGCATTCCAAATGACTTTCCATCAATCTAATGTTCTATTTGACAGAAGAAAAAGAAATCATTTAGTTGTGACAATATCACCATAATTCGAAGTCACACAAAGAAAGACTGTGCCACTGATACCTCCATTCATTATATGACTTCCTTTAATAATGGCCCCTGAGTTGATCATTGAATGATGGTGCTTGATTTCTGATGCTAACAGAAAGAACTTCCCAGAGAATACTGAATCTGTGATTTTCAGTCGGCAAATCAGCTGATTGCACACGCTTATTAGGAAGGATAATCCAGGAGTACTCAAAGTAGTGAATGTGCAAAGAGCCCTCAGGCTTCAGCCCAGCATCACGTGTACACAGGGCTCTGGGGTTCGGAGCATCCTCCCTCAGTGGCTTTCAGCTTCCCCGTGGCAATTTGCTGGCTGGAGTTTGGAAGAGATTCATTAGCACCTATGGCAGGCCCACTGTGAGGTGGGCTTCCAAAGTCCCTCCCTCCACCAGATTGGCATTGAAATATGCTTTGGGTTGGCAGGCCCGTGGATGCTAAATCAGAGTCTTTCTGAGCCAAGCATCTGAGCAGTGGCCCTATATAGCAGCCAGGTTTATTGTACCTACTCGATTCATTTTCTGAGGACTAAACCACTGAGGATAGTCAAAGCACTTAGAGAATAAACTAGAATTCTTTGGTCCATGATCAGAGTCCCAGATTGGGAACTAGAGGGAACCTTAGAGACCAGCAGTCCAGCTCCTCATTTTACGGATGAGGAAACTGAGGTCCAGCAAGTGGACTGCTCAGGAGCATGCAACTAGTCAATATCAGAGGCCAGATTAGAAGTCAGGTCTTCCTGATTCCAAGTCCACCACTCTCTTCACTGTGCCACCTAGAGTTGGCTAGAGAATGCCAAAGGCCCCAGACTCATGCTGCCAAAGGCTGCATTAAGTCAACCCCCCCTTTTTTGCCAGCTCTGTGTAATGGCCATCCTCTAAGAGGGAACTGGGAATCTTTTTTTTTTTTTTAGACTTATGATTTCATCAGTGGAAGGCATTCCCAGTGAGGAAAGACCCTCTACCAGAGCAGATCAGCCCCAGATCTATTTTAAGTATTAAAGATAAAGATAAATGCCAGGGTCCCAGGGAAGTGATTTGCCCAGGGTCAATACAGCCAATATGTCATCTATATAACTTGAAGCTGAGGCCAGAGCTCTATCCATGTCTGATATAATTTCTTTATTTTTAAAAATAATTTTAGGAGATGAATCATTGTTTGTTAAACTCAATGAGATTTTTAAAATATTTCATTAGAGGCATTAACTTTAACCCAAAATTAAAAAGAAATGCAAATATGAGGAACATTTGGCAAGGTGGTGCTAGGTAGAAGACCTCCCACTGAGGATATTGGAAGGGCACAGACCAGAAAGGTACAGCACAGGCAAGCAAGGAGGGGACAGGTTGTACGCTGCACCAGAGGAGAGAGTGTGGACGTCATGACGCACAGATACACTGAAATATTTGGCAGAAGGCATGTCCATTGAACCAGATTTTCATTCATTTACATGTTTTAGATTCTGAAGTATCCTTGGCTAGATTAAGCCAAGGAACGGCAGAGTCAGTGGGCTTTCATTAGAGGATGTTGCATGTCT